GATCTTGCTGCCACTGGGGTTTGAACCCAGGCAGCTGCTGGCCTTGCGCGTGCGTGGCTGCTCCCGTAACACACTTACCATATTGTATGTATGACTTTGTAGTGTGGCACGTTGTTGTTGAAGAGGTGCGTGCCAACTATTTACACCCCCCCCTCCCCCACCCCCAACCGACGAGCAGCGACCAGCAGGGCAGCAACGACTGGGCTGCTATTTGCTCCCCCCCCCCATGTGGCTGCTGCTTCCTGTGCACGTGGCCATCTGCAGTGCCACGTGGCAGTCTGCTCTGAAGACTGAAGACTCCCCTGGCTAGGGGGCTGCGCCACATTATTTTTTTGTACTATTTTTCTATTGCTGCAGCAGCTCAAACTTTCCCCCCTGGTTAGGGGGCTGTGTGACTATGGCAGTAGGGTGGCTGATCAAGATCTCAACCAACCCTAGATCATCATCATCATCCTGTTATTGTTGTGGCATCAGGCCAGCGGCACCTTGAAGGCCAAGATCCTGTGGATCTTGGTAGTGCTTTGCTCTTGGCCAACCAAGAGCCTGGTATTATCTCTCTCCACTAACCTACCCTCCCCCAACCCCTTTTCTCTCCCCCCCCATCATCTAATCATCCTTTCTAACTGTACCACTACCCCCCCTCCTCCCACCTCCCTCTTCACTCATCTCCCGCCACATTTTTCTCTCCTCTCCTCCGCACTCACCATCTTCTACTAATCTCATCTCCCCCATCTTCCACTTCACTCCTCTCTCTCTCACCGATTTCTCTCTTCTTCATCACTGTTTCATCCCCTTGCCCTCCCCCTACTTCGAATTTTTCTGTTTTTCTTCTTTCCCCTTTTTCTTTGATTTTAATCTTCTTTTTTCTCTAAAAAATTGAATCTTATTTCCCTCCCCCCCTTCTCATTTTCTGATTTTTTTTTTTTTTTAATTCTAAAAATTTGAATTTATTTGCGATACCGTTAAATCAAACTAGGAGTTGGTCTTTCTTGCTTTCGGCACACATTTTGACCCTCTGGGCGTAACGAAGTGCTGCCAAAATTTTCTGTTTTTCTTTCACTTACTCTTTCTCGACACACTTCGACCCCATGGGGGTAACGAAATGCTGCCGAAATTTTTGAAAAATCAGATACTTCATTTCTCTCCACCTCCTCATCCACTTATTCACTTATTTATTTATTTATTATTTATTTATTTATTTTCTGAAAATTTTTAATTTGTGGCAGTTTGAAACCTAGTGTGCTTATCTTGGTCTCTCCTTTCCCCTTGGTACATTCTTGACCCCATGGGGGGCAGGAAAATGCTGCCGAAAATTCTAAAAAAATAAATATTATTTCTCTCTTCATATTTTGTTTCCTTATTTTTTTAATTATTTTTATTATTTATTTATTTCCTTATTTATTTTTATTTTTCTCTCGAAATTTCGTTGTTTATTTATTTTTTCTCCCGCCTTCCCCCCCCCTATGCTTGCTATTTTATTTTCTTGATTAGGTCACAGGTACCCTACCCTAACCACTCAAACTCCAATTAGGGTTTTCTTAGGGTTTTTCTAGGGTTTAGGGTTTTCCTAACCCCCCCTACCTTCCCTTCTCTTTCGGCCACCTTGGATCCGAACCACCCCTTCCCCTTTGACGGCACCCGCGCTCGATTTACTAGCGCCGCCCGTCGACTTCTATCGCAGAACTCCCCCTACGCCCTCCACGCACGCGGACCTCTTCCGACCCTCTCTAGTCCGGCCCGTTACCTCCCCATGGCCGACGGCGTGTCACAAGCCGTCGAGGCGGCAACGACCTCGGCATCGGGCTCCACACCCGTGCGGACGGACCAGGGCCACCAGCCCCAAGGGGATCTGCACACCCTCATCACCTCCCTCCTTGCGCCCTTACATGTGCAAATGGCGACTCTTGCCGCTGGCCTGCAGCAACTCCAAGACGCTTGTCGTCAATCCTCTCCCCACTCTCTCTCTTCCCCTGGCTCCCAGTCTGGGTCCCCCGTCCTCCGACATGGTGGCCACGGCGGAGCTTCCTCCTCTGCCGCCCCCGACCCGGCCATCCTGGTGACCGTCCACGCTCCTAGCACGACGGCCGCCACGGGCCAGACCCTCCCTCACTCTACGGGTGCACCCGCCCAGATTTCGGTCACTACGGCTACGGGACCATAACCCGCTACCATGGTCTCAACTTTTCTCGGTGCCCCGCTTCTTCCTTTCCTTCGCACGACCGCAGCACCACTTGGCTTCCCCTCCTCTGGGATGCCCCGCGCCACTCGTGCGTTCACTTCCCCCACTCTTCCTCCGGCCACTCCTCGCTCGATCTACGTTCAACGCCTCGAGGACGAGCTTGCCCAGACCCGGGCCGACTTCGCCCTCTTACGCCTTCAGCCACCCCCACGCTCACAGGTGGCCGCCCCTTCGGGCGCACCCCCTTCTTCCTCTACTTTTCCATTCTTGCCGGCTCGCTTTCCTCGCCCTGCACCCCCTCCACCCCCATCCTACCTCCTTCCTACTCCCTTGGCTGCTGCGACCTCTTCTACCGCAACTCCCTCATAGCCTGCCGTTGTTCCCCCCGCCTCTCCACCATGCGGCCCGGGTGGACAGTCAGCTGCACCCGCTTGTCCAGGAACTGCGCTGACTTACTCGACTGTAGCGCAGGCCTCTGCTCCCCGCTCTCCTCGCTGCCAAAACGGTTGCGCACCACTCATCCGCTTGACGAACATGGCCTTGTATGACGGTACAGGCATACGCGTGTCTCGGTGGCTACAGTCTGCCACCCGCACGCTCCAGCTCATGGGCGCCCCACCCGACACGTGGGTGACTCACCTCTCCACGCGCTTGCGTGACGGTCCTTTTGACGCCGGGAGAATTTCTACGCTTACTCCCTTCGTGCGGGTCGGACTCCAACCTGCATGGATTTCCAGGCGTTCCTCGAGGATCGCTTCGGAGCGCGACATGACGTGACTGACGCCTTCGAGCGTGTCGTCACTACATGCTGGTCTGACTTTGGTGGCGTTGCCGGCCTGGATCGCCACATCCAGGTCTTTCAGGACGCGCACCTCATTTGTGATGTGGCGTTCCTTCCTAAGGCTTCCCTTATCGATCGTTTTTTGGCCAGCCTTTCCCTTGAGTACCGCTCCGAGTTATGGCGGTACAAGTTCACATCGGTCCTGCAGGCTTACGAGGCCGTTCGGGACCATCAGCGGATGCGGGCCCGTCTTCAACACACTTCCTCCTCCCAGCCTCAACGTACTGGTTACGCCCCCTCCTCCTCTCACGACACTTTCCAGCGTCGTTCCCCTTTCTGCGGTCACCCCCGTCGTTCCGCGCAGCAGGGATGCCACTTCTCGTGCCGCTTCAGCGCGCTCGAGTATGGTGAACAGGACGCCGTTGCCCCGCTAGCGCCTGAGGGTGACCATAGCGACGACCTCAACCTCGGCGAGGCCGTCCACTACCACCTGGAGGACTCTACTCTCCCTATGGCCGAGCGCCTCCAGCTCATCCTTTCCGCCCTCTCCCGGGCATGCAGCCGCCCCGGTCACGCTGGCGCGTCGGTCACGCTGGCGCGTCGCCCCCCGAGGTCCCTCAGCAGGACCTCCCTCAGGGCTTTGTCCCTCCTCGTGGTGTTCTTTCCGCTGAGGAGCGCGCGGCCATTTTGGGCCGGCGTGGGTGTTTCCGATGCCGCGAGGATGGTCATACCTCCTCGCGGTGCCCTTACACTGCCGCCCTCGACCGCCACTACGCTGACCTTTCCCGCCAGCGTCATGCTCAGTCCCCCCCCAGCGCCTCGCATCCCCGCGGCGCCTCCTAGCCACGGTGCAGTGTACACCTGCGCCCTCCTCAGTAGTCGGCTTCCCGACATCCCCGTCGCGGTTTGCCCCTCTTGCTACTAGAGTTGAGGTATCGATGGACCTGAAAGAGTGTACTCAGCCCTCTATCGTAGTACAGTCTGCGCCTCCGCAGACCACCGTCCCCCCTTCTACCCCGCCGCGACTACCGACGCGTCTTGCGACTCGCGAGGACGTTGTGTCCTTTCTTTTGGACTTGAGCATGCTTCAGGCTCGTCAGGAGCGACTCACCCTCCATGTCACTGCACTGCGTCGCCTTCTCACCATCCTCTCTAACCCTGATCGCACCCTCCCGATCATTCCAGTACGACTGGGGACCTCCACGAGGGTGTACTCAGCGCTGTGGGATTCCGGTTCTCAGAGCGACTTCATTCACCCACGTGTGGTGAAAGAAGCCCGCTTACCCACGACAGGGTCTCCGACTCCCATCTCCGTCACCCTAGGGCCAGCGCTTCTTCGATCAGACGGTCACGGACCTCCCCTTCTTCCTCACCCTCGAGCCGACCGATCGTCCCCCAGCGTCTCGTCGCCACCGCTCCTCTGCACATTTCGATGTGATGGAAATGGGGTACGATTTCATTCTCTGTACTCCGTGGTCTCGTCGGTTCCGCAACACCGAGGCCGACTAGGCGACCAACACTCTCGTTCTCAAAACGAAGTGTGGACAGACGTATCACCTACCTTTCATAGGTACCACTGCGACACCACGCCCCGATCCTCCTCCCCCGGAGCCTTCCGTGCCCACACCATCTCCTTCTATCACTGTCACCTCGCCACGACTGTTCGCCCACTTCATCCGACAAGATGACGTTTCCTTCTTTATGGTGAACGTGACGGATCTCTTACACTATGATCCACCCTGTCTCGACGCCGAGCTCATCCCTCAGGAGCCATATCCTCCTTCTATCTCCATGACTCTCATCTCTACTTCCCTCCCTCCGCTGTCCCTCGAGTCCACCCCGTCGTCGCACGCCGACACTGACGCTGAGGAACTCGCATGCTATACGGCCGACTTGGAGCCCGCAGTTCGTGACCTCATGAGAGTACCACGACGTTTTCCCATCGTAGTTCTTGTACGCCGGCATCCCACCGATGCGCGACATCGAGCACTCCATCCAGCTTGTGCTTGACTATCTCGTTCACCACCAGACACCGTACAGACTCTTGATCCCCGAGGCCACCGAACTCAAGCGTCAGCTTGAGGAACTCCTGAGACTAGGTTTCATTAAACCCAGCAACTCCCCGTGGGGTGCACCTGTCCTCATTGCTCGCAAAGCTGATGGAACTCTCCGTCTCTCCGTTGACTATCGCGGTCTCAACCGCTACACGGTTAGGAACAACTACCTCATGCCTCGTTCCGATGTGCTGTTCGACCGCCTAGCAGGCAACCGCTTCTTTACGAAGATTGATCTTCGTAGCGGTTACCATCAGATCCACGTCGCTGGAGCGGACCAGCCGAAGACAACGTTCCGATCGCGCTTCGACCACTACGAGTTTACGGTGATGCCATTCGGTCTCACCAACGCACCCGCTACCTTCCAGGGGGCGATGAACGACATCTTCAGGGACATCCTGGAGCAGTACGTTCTCGTCTACCTCGATGATATCCTGGTTTACAGTCGTACCCTTGAGGAGCACCCCAGACATCTCCGCGACGTCCTTGACCGCTTGTATAGACATGGCTTCTACGCCAAGCTGAGCAAGTGCCGCTTTGCCCAGCACAAACTGAATTTCTTAGGACACTACGTGTCTGAGCAGGGTCTCCACATGGACGACGCGAAGATCACTGCTATTGCGGAGTGGCCCGTCCCCACATCCACCAAGCAGCTTCGCAACTTTCTAGGCCTTACCAGCTACTATAGTATTTTCATCCAGGGATACGCTAGGTATTCCTACGTCCTTACCTCCACCCTCCTCCTGAAGAACCCGCCCTGGGCTTGGACACCCCTCCACGAGGACGCCTTCCGCGCCCTCAAGAAGGAGGTGACATGTGCACCAGTGCTTCACCTGCCCGATTTTGATCGCCCTTTTATCCTTACCACCGATGCGTCAGGCTTTGCTGTAGGAGCAGTGCTTTCTCAGATTTTCCCCTCCTCTCCTGATTCCTCTTATTCTCGTATCCCTCGCTTCCCACCCCCTACCCGTACCATTGCCTCCCGCCTGACGCCTACTCGTCCAGCTACTGACGAGCCTTCTATTGACTATTCTCCTACCATTGCCGAGGATGGCATTGTCGAGTCTCGCTCAGGTGATTGTCCGATAACCTTCTACTCCCGTCAACTACTACCCGCCGAGATAAACTACACCGTTGATGAACGTGCGGTTCTCGTAGTAGTTTATGTCGCTCGACATTGGCCTCACTATTTGCACGGGGCACCATTCACGGTGCGCACGGACAACTCTGTTGTTCAGGCTTTTCTGACAAAACCGAAGCTCACTCCTCGACATGCTCGCTGGTGGTGCGACCTATCTGAGTTTAGTTTTACCACTTAGCACATCAAGGGTGAGATTAATCGGGTCGCAGATGCCTTATCCCGACGCCCTGACCACAATCAGGAGTAGATCCAGCTCGCTTCCATCTCGGTCACCACCGTCCACCACTCGGTGATCGACGAGTTTCGCACTCAGTACCGCCACTGCCCTGACTATCGCGACATCCAAGCGACCCTTCGGAGTGGCAAGACCGTCCCGAACTACTCTCTCGGGGACAACGGTCTTGTGTACTGGCACGATTCATAGAGCATCAGAGAGCCCCGTATTTGTGTTCCCTCCATTGGACAGCTACGTGTCCGGGCAGTAGCAGAGTTCCATGACCAGGCAGCCGCCGGTCATATGGGTTTCCACAAGACGTTGGCTTGTGTGAGCTGCCTGTACGTCTGGTCGAAGCGCAAGGACTTTGTGAAGCACTACATCACAGAGTGTCCCACCTGTCAGGAGGTGAACAGTGCAAACCACCTTCCTTATGGTCTGCTCCAGCCTCTTCCTATCCCTGAGGGCCGTTGGCAGTCCATCTCGATGGACTTTATCGGTCCTCTTCGTCCTCCGACCCCCCGCGGTCATGATGCTATCCTGGTCGTCGTCGACCGCTTCACGAAGCGTGCACGCTTTGTTCCGTGCCGCTATGCCATCAGTGCACGTGAGGTCGCTGACATCGTGTTTGACCGAGTCGTGCGTGACCATGGCTTACCTCTGAGCATCATATCTGACCGTGACCCGCGCTTTACCAACCGATTCTAGCAACAGTTTCACGAGGTTTACGGCACCCAACTCCGCTTCTCCTCGTCTTACCATCCTTAGACTGATGGTCAGACCGAGGTCACGAACACGACTCTCGGAGATATTCTTCGAAAGATTGTACGTGAAGACCAACAGTGGGATCTCCATCTTGCCCACGCGGAGATAGCCTACAACCACGCCGTCTCGCCAACCACGAGGATGTCGCCTTACTATTGCGACCTCGGCTATCACCCTCGTGTTCCCGCGGACTTCCTTCGACCGTCACAGATGCACCCCAACACGAGTTGTCCTACACTGGATGATTGGGTTGCATACATGACGTCGATCATGAAGACCGCACATGAGCACATAGTCGCTTTTTAGACTCGCATGGTCGCACGTGCGAACCGATCAAGGATGGATCATTCATTCAAGGTCGGTGATGACGTGCTTATCGACGTCCGCCACTTACAGATCGAAGCGAACACGCTTCACAAGTTTCGGTGTCGCATCTTTGGCCCATGCCGCATCCTCCAGGCCGTCGGTTCTGACACGATATCTAGCCTGACCAACTTCCGTGTGAAGTTGCCCGATTACCTACGTGAGGCTCGTGTGCACGATGTCTACCACGTCTCGTTACTGCGTCCTTGCCGCAGACCGTCTGAGCGTTTCGTTGGACGACCATACGAGCGCCCTCCACCCATCATGGTGGACGACCACGAGGAGTTCCTCGTTTCAGACATCATTGGTCGCCGAGTCACCGACGACAACCCTCCCCATGTCGAGTATCTCGTACGTTGGAAGGGTTACCCTGATGAGGAGGTTACCTGGTAGCCCCTCGAGCACTTGCAGCACGCTCGCATGTTGGTGCGTGCCTATGACCGTGCTCGTCGTGTTTGGTCGACTGCTCCTCCTCAGCCCACTGACCCTCCTCCTTCTCCCTCGGCTGAGGAGACCACTGAAGTCGAGCCTGCCCCATCTGAGGCAGACCTTCAGCAGCAGCCGGATGCTTCTGAGCGTCCACAGCGCACTCGTCGTCGTCCTGCTCGATACGACGATTGACTCTGACTTACCTTCCCACGTCTTGGACTTCTCAGTACTCCATCCACTTCAGTTTGGCTACTTCAGCTTGTCGACGGTGCGGCTCTTCCTCGATGACATTCCGAACTTTTCATCCTGGACGTCATCGACAGCTTCATGGACTTCGTTACGATCAGCTTTGCCTACTTCACACGTCATCACCCTCTGACCACTTTACCCTGTACAGTACCCTACTTGTGTCGCTTGATGGTCTCCCTTCGCCAGGTTCCTCTGAGTTGGGCTCTCCCTTGGTATACGCATCGGCATCGGGACCGTAGCGTTGCCCTGGCTTCCCAACTTACGGATCTAGCTCCGACTTCCTTCACTTTAGGAGTCATTTGCATGATTCTCTTACCCATCACCTTTCTACCCTCTGCCGGCCCTCACGCCCTAGTTAGGCAGCCTTGCATGCTTCATCTAGGTGCGCCCAGTATACCAGGCTCCCTTGTTCCCTTGCATGGTTAAACCTCCATAGCGGTCACCCCTTAGTCGAGCATTATCCGCCTTGATGGTCTATCTCTTAGGGTCATTGGTTTTGTTCGCTCCCAGTTCCCTACCCTCATTGAGTCTGATGACATGTGTTTCCCCTGTTATTATGTGTGGATGCCCTTAGGTGTTATCGACCCCTAGGCTGCATTCGCCACCCTCAAAGATCAGCCCACCCTTTGGTTTGCAACACACTCCTCCTGTGACATATGGTTGACTTGTTGTTGCTTTGTTGCTCTCAGACTGAGGCTACTGCCTCTGGCATTTCTAGGATTTAGTTGTTTTGCTTTTGCTGTTCTTAGGACTTGTACACTAGTCAGCTGTTTCCAGACTGAGGCTACTGCCTCCAACATTCTAGGACCTAGCTGTCATTACTTCCTGCTTTCCTAGGACATATATGCTAGTTAGTTGCTTTTGCTTTCACTTAGGCTGTTAGTTGTGACATTGCTGTTTTTGTGACATTTTATATTCTAGGTTGCATCACATGGACTCAGCATGGAGCTTGCTCTGCATCCTAGACTACTCAGGTTTTCTTTTTCTTTGGTAGAGTTCCGCTTCTTAGCGGAAGCGTCCTTGTATCTAGGCGATCCATCACAGGCCGAGGATCGTGTAGTGGACCTCTGGTTGGCCTGTGAGACCAGCCCCTTGGCCTGTTCTCACAGACCTGTGTTGTATTTGGGGCAGTCCAGTCCAGGTCGGTACCTCTGTCGGTACTAGTCAGTCCAGTCCAGTCCAGTCAGCCCGCTGGGTTATACCCCAGCTGTTGTCTGTTTTCAGATTCATTCTGCATTCGCGCAGTTTGGAGTACGTGCGTTGGAGTCTGGCGTGGAAGCTGCGCTGTGCCATCTCACTCTCCTTCTTCCTCCATCTCCATCTCTGTCCCAGGCGGAGCGCCACACCTGGTGGGTCCGCCACAACGACAACCGCTTTAGTTATGGTGAATGGGTATAAATCCCAACAATTCCCGCTGTCTCGGTCTCTTAGACAAGGTTGCCCTTTGGCCCCGTTTCTTTTCGCTATTCATATGGAAGTTCTACTTGATAACATCAAATACAAAGATCAGAGTGTAGGTCTCAAGCTCCATAACCAGATTCAAGGGAAAGGAGGAGCTTTGGCTGATGATCTAACGATTGCGTGCGTCAATAGCAGGCCGACCCTGATTTCATTAAGGAAAGTGTTAAATGCGTACTGTGATCTGTCACAGGCCTCGATCAACTGGAATAAATCTACTTATTTCTTACCCAAAGATTATGAGCTGAAGGTTAATTGGGGTCTGAAACAAGTGTCTGCAGAGTCGTCAGAACGATTCCTAGGTGTGCAAGTGACTTAAACTAGCAATGCAGAGTTTCATGACTCCATGCTGGTGGAAACAATTGTAAGCAGGTTGTCAAGTTGGAGTCATATACGTCATCTGTCCCTCATGGGAAGAGCGATGGTAACTTAGGCAGCAGGTTTAGCGGTGCTATGGTTTGTACTCTCCACACATCTTTTAGGGGACAAAGCCTACAAAGCTATCAAGAGGGAGACCGCCAAGTTACTGTGGAAACATGAAGCAGAGGAATACAAGAATTTCTTTTCCAAAGTGGCATGAGAAATAGTTTGTTTTCCAAGAGAGGAAGGAGGCCTAGGTCTATTAGACCCTAAACAATAAAATGTATTTGCCTTGGCCTAATGATCGATAAAAGCCTTGCTTGAAGATCCCTCTGCCCCTTGGATATCCTTGGCTATGTACATCCTAAGCATTGAATGAGAACTAAGTAGACCAGAGGACGTCCTAGCCCGTTTTTTAATCCGCTCTTTTGTAAACTGAAAATTAAAGTTGGTGTTTTGGAACAATATTATGATTGTCTGACATAAATTATTTTCATTAGAAAGAGTAAGTCCAGATACCGAAGAGTCGTTCCTCAATCAGATACTGCTTGAGAACCCGTTGATTGTAAATGCTGCAGGGTCCCCCTTCTCAGCCCATGCCTCGGCGGGGAATTTTGGGAAGGCCAAGGTGGAAAAAGGGGATCGTACGGGTTAGTGATATCCGGGATAGGAAAACAAACAAATGGAAAGAGACGTCTCAGATCAAGGAGCACTTAGGGAGGCTGAGATACATTTCTACCAGACTGCAATAAATCCAAAAAACCATCCCCCCAAGCTGGTTAGCTTGACTCTTGGATACCAGAATCCCTTGGGGGGAGCGGTGGCTGATTCCCCCTATACAACAGGGAACTGTCCTACATATCACAGATCATCTTGGGGATGATAGTTGGACAGCAACATAATGGTCAGTGCCCACAAATTTCTCCCTTAGTAAAACGCTGGTACAAGCGGGTAATCTGCAACCGCCATCCTTAGAAAAACATTCAGAAATGGTAGTAAGGAAGAAAACGCAGAGAGCACCAACAAGAGGGACTTTGATCACTATGGTTTCTCTCCCAGCGGGACTGAAACCTCTAGAAAACGTGGCAGTGGACTGTAGAGCAGTAGGATGGTGGCAACCGCAGAGGCAGTCATCCTTAGGCTTAGACGAGTATTCTACTAAAAACAACTCTGGATTGCAAAGATGGAAAGTCAAGAAGACGCCACTAGTGGTTGTCGCCAACAGACGGGATGAACAGGGACTGCTTTCAATTCCACCAGAGCATCTCTCGTCGTTATGGAAACACGTCAAGCAACTACCTTCACAATGTTTATCAAACAATCCATGCTGGCCACAACTTCAACGGTGAACTTGGTATCAAAAGGAATGAAGATCTCTGCAGGATGTGTGCGATGTAGATGGGTATTTGAAGACGCTCGTCACCTGTGGTTGTCACGCCCTGCTTCGAGGAGAATCTGGGACTGGTGGATTCAGCACTGGAACGAGATAACCAAGCGTAAATTTACTTGGTCTGATGACTGGATATTGAGTGGGATACAAGCTTCAACCAACTCAGAGGAAAGGGATTGGCTTTATGTAGCACAGGCAATCCGGACTATTATTATGAAGATCATTTGGGATGATATGAATGACCAATTATTCAGTAATAAATTTAAATCTGACAATACCAGCAAAAATACGGTTACTCAACAGATTAGAATCACGATTCAGAGCGATTGGCTTCGCAGATTAAACAGGGGCAGATACTCTAAAGTCAGGAACTGGTTTTTGGACACATGGGGAAGGGACTTCGAATTAGTGAAGCTTACTGTGGAGGCAGGTAATGCTTCTCGCCCTGGCTCCTAACCCCAGCCGGTCACGAAGAGCGTTGTAGCGCCCCTCCATGATTCAATCAGAAAATGAGGAGATAGCGGTAAACAGACAATTATTCAAGCAATAATTCAAATACTAACAGATGATCTGCCTTGACAGAGGATCTATTTCTTTTTTGACTTTTTCGAAGTTCCTTCGGTGGGGGGACTCTGGACCCGGTCGCTTGGAACCTATAGCTGGGTAGCCCGAGCATGGTTGTGTATCGGGTTGATTTCTTGGGGTGTGTTCCCGGACCTCTGTCTCCCTTATGGGACCATCACGGACGAAAGGCCAAACAACGTCCAAAAATGGTTAACAGGTAGCCCCACTTTTCACCCCTAGGGTAACCTTCACATCCATGAAAAGTGTCATGGGGATCATGTTTTTTTGTTTTTTTTGGTTTTTTTTTTTTGCCTTGTTTTGTTTTTGGTCAAAGCATGTATGTGCCAAGTTTGGTGTTTGTTGGGTTCTTGGAGATGCTTGTTTTGGGCAGCGGTGAAAATTGTGAAAATCGGCAATTTGAAATGTTGGTAAAATTTTATGAAAGTGCACTTTTGCCTGCAGTGGGGATCATGTTTTTTTGTTTTTTTTTGTTTTTTTTTTTTGCCTTGTTTTGTTTTTGGTCAAAGCATGTATGTGCCAAGTTTGGTGTTTGTTGGGTTCCTGGAGATGCTTGTTTTGGGCAGCGGTGAAAATTGTGAAAATCGGCAATTTGAAATGTTGGTAAAATTTCATGAA